CGATTCGCCGTACGCGTCTGCTTGACCCGAGCAGCAAGGATGCTATCGTGAGCCGTCATAACAGCTGTCTTGATCTTCTGAGCAAACGTGCTAACCCCAGGGTATTCAGAACTATCCGTTGAATTCCAAATAAAGGAACGCGGCATTCGACCGTTATTCAGAAAAAATGGTGCGTAGCCTGTACTGCCCGCTGTTGCAGAGTTGATGGCAAACTCAATCCCAGGAAGTTTCACACACCAATCCTTCTGGTTTGGACTAACGCATTGTCTTATCATTTGCGTCACAGTGCGGTTGGCACGTTCTGTGGACCCATCAGACTCGGGATGGTACGCGCTGGACATATTAAGTCTCGTGCCAATTAACTCATGCAACTGTTTCCAGAATGCGCTCGTGAAAAGTACGTCGCGATCACTCACAATCGAAGAAGGTAGGCCATGATGTTTATAGACTTCAGCAAAGACTAACTCGGCAACCTGGCGTGCAGTATAGTTAATGCGACCTGGGACAAGGTGTACCATTGCAGACAATAAACATATTATTACCACAATGCAGTCATACGACGCATCTCGGTCTTTTGATTCAGGTAATGGACCAACGAAATCAATGCCGATAGACTCCCAAGGCCGCGTTGGGACACCCAAAGGGTTCAACAAGCCGTAAGGTTTCTGATTAGAAGGCTTGCTACGCTTGCAGGTTATGCAGGAGTCACAGTATGCTTTCACATCATTTAGTAGACTCTTCCACCAGACGTGATCGCGTAAATATGCAATAGTTTTCTGCGTGCCCAAGTGAGCCAGCAAAGAGTGAGCCTCCGAAATGACAAGCTCACGGACCCCTTTGCCGTCAATCAGAACATCAGGGATGCAAAGTAGTTTGCTCCTGTTCTGTCTTAAAAAGATCAGTCCTTCTGATACTTCGAAGTTCTTAAAATGCCTCGGGTTTTCTAAGACACGACGGAAAATGGGATCTTTGCCATACTTCCCCACTAAAACTTTAGGCAGATCAATGCCACTAACGCTGTCATGCATATGTTCGACAAGCGTCTGAGGCGTTGATGCAGCCTCAGGCAATTCAGCAGTCGTGGCATCACTTGGCGCGTCATGTGGCACACCATCAATTGATGCGGCATTATCTTCGTTGGTTGGATCTGAATCGAGGTCTGTTGAATCCGTCAACGTATTTTTAGATCCATTTTGTTTCCGCGCTGGAATTCTGATAGTCAACCTCTCTGCCACTGCATCCTTCCGGCTTTCGCCCTCCTTTCCTGCTACTGGGCCTTTCAGGACAACATGTCCCTTCATGCGTGCAGCAAACTCTCGAGAGGTCTCTGGCCGACCTGTCTCTGCGGGAGCTGGTTTCGAACGGACACGGCGAGTCGGCATTGCTGCCTCGCCCTCCTTTCCAACAAGGACAGGCATCGAAATAGCATGCGCGCTTAGGACGTCGTTATCGACAACATCGTGGTATGTATATTCACTCCTAGCGCGTACCGTTCCAGGCTCATCATTGGAATACAGCCGGGAGAGGGCGTCGGACAAGATATTCTCAGCACCAGGTACATATATGACCTCAAAATCGAATTCAGACACCTTCTCCAGCCAACGCGCTTGACGTCCAGACAGGTCACGTTGGTTTAACAGGTGTATCAGACCCTTGTGGTCTGTGTACCATCTGAACTTCACGCCTTGTAGTATGTCTCTATGACGCATCATTGTTTCTATCCCAGCTAACATTTCGATCTCATGCACAGGGTAGTTCTGCTGGGCAGGGTTCAGCTTGGCAGAGAAGAACGCCGCGACGGAGGCTGTCTTCCAGTCTTCACCCTGGCTGACTACCCCAGCTATCCCTGTGCCACAGCCATCAGTGACTATGTTGACCGGTGGTACGTCTGCACCATACTTCAAAGGTTTACGATGGTGATCCTTACACAGAACAGCGAGGTTTTTTATGTCCTCAAACGCCCGTTGGTGAGTGTATTCCCAACGAAAAGGAACTGTGTCGCCTGTTAATGCGTGAAGGACACCCATAGGGACCCGGACACGATCAATATCGTCAGCCAGGAAACCAGCCGCCCCCAGGAACCCACGGAGGAGGTCCCGGTTCGTCGGTGTCTTCCAACGTACAAGCGCGTCAACCTTGTCTGGGTCCATCCGGATGCCCTCATCGTCCACAACACGTCCAAGAATTTTGACGGAGTCGCAAAGAAAGTTCAGTTTACGTTCGGTAAGAAAAAATTTCTCTCGTCTTAAGATGTCAATGACCAATTTCACCTTCTTTACGTGGTCTTCTAGGTTATTGGAATATACCATGACATCGTCAAGGTAAATGTCCACAAAACGGCCAAGGTACGGTGCGAACAAATCATTCATTACTGTCTGAAACGTCGCAGGTGCGTTGCAGTCTCCCTGCTGGAGAACCTCACTCAACATTGGGCCATCAGGAGTGGCCATAGCCGAGTTTTCGACATCACGCGGGTCGATGCGTATCTGCAGGCACTGATGAGGTTATTACCTACCTTGGAGACGAAACCAATTAAATGCACTATGCCACCATATCGAGCTGCATTAATTGAGCGTGGCAGAGTCCCCTTTCCGCCAACCTAGAAACGGGGTAAGACAATGGTCTGCCAAAGCATTTGCAAGTCACACATACTTCGACTACATGGTCAACGCCGACCCCCTTCGTCTGACAAACAACAAAGGTTGGAACAAGGAAAGAGGCAAGAAAGTGTTAACTAGAGCCTACAATCTTCAAAACTTCATCATCCCAATTCGGAGTCGTTCTGTAGTTGATGGTATGTTTGGCTCCGTGCTTAGCAGCGAGCTTCAACTTCTCGTCCGAGGAGGATGTGCAATGACGATCGCAC